TGTCATAAAAGCTTTCATGTGGGACCTCTGACTACAGGGACTTTTTGTAAAGAGTGTGTGAAAGAAAACTTAGAAAGAGAAACTTTCCTAACTAATAAATTTGTGATATGGGGTTCACATCCTCACTAAAAACCTTTAAGGGATTTGATCTCAACGAGGTTGAAAACCACAGCCCTTCACTCCAAGTTGTACATCTGTGGTGTAGCAATCTCAAAGGGACCTTGTATATAGACTTTGTCTTTGTTGCTCTTCTTTTGTAGGCTTTAGGGATTTCGCAGCATGCTACAACCCCAGAAATGTGCTATCCCTTTCCAAGCCAGACAATGGGTCTGTGGCCTCACCAACAATGTACTACTGCAGAAGCGCTGGCTAAAGCCCATCTCCATATTGGATTGGGAAGAGCTGAATCCTGTTGCTTTGTTTTTTATTCTAATGTTTATAGCCTTTTCACACTGCTTTCCTTATGACTGGTTTTTATTTGGCCCTCGAGCTTAACATTTGGAACTTCTATTGCATGGTTTTGTTGGTTGGTTTTTTTTTTCTTTTTTAGCTTCTCAGAGAATAATGTTGATTGTTGCAATAAGCATCTTTCTTTCGTGTTTCATTTCATTTTCTATTCTATATGAGTTCTTACCCAGTAGCTCATCAAAACAACTGAATCAATTAAAGCAACCAAGTAACTAACATCTGCTATGTGTTTGCTTCCTCTCTAAGACTCTCTAGGGCAAGAAGTGTGTGCTTTGGAACGGTTAGCAGTTTATTATGTTATATATGAACACTTGTTTACAGAAGGTCAGATCAAAGAAGTTGATGATGTTTTTGAAGTGGAGAGCTGCAAAGTTTGTGGTAGCTCTGTGTTCTTAGGAGGATCGTGATGCAGGCTTTTGCACTCCAGGAAAGCATTGTTTCAAGCGGAGCACAGTTTTATCCTTGGATAAAAAGATGAGTGAGTAAAGGACTCCCTTGAGTAGAGAGCATGTTGTGCTGGGAGAGAAGTTGCTGTCTGTGGTCTTTGCCCCAGAGCTGCTTGGGGCAAAAACTTGCTTTCTTTTTGTTATAGTTATCACTCACTCCCAATAATTTTAAATCTTGCCTTTTTTTACAGCATTAGCTTACATTCTAGTGCTCTCCTCTTAATGAATTGCTGAAAGTGGAGTTTTACTCACTGAAATTAATCAATGAAGAGAGTCAGCATGGTATTGAATCTACTTTGACCTCCAGTTACCCCAGACCCTGAGAAATGTTGGGAGAAATTTATACTGATGTAAAATCACAGCTTGGCTCTTGATCCTGATTGAAGCTAATTATCAGCTGATAATATCCTTCTGCCCTTCATCTCTGAGTGGAAATCAGTGCTTTTATTTTATGTCTTAATCATTTGTAAAAGCTGAGCCTTGGGAAGCACTTGGAGCAACTGTGTTTTACAGTCATACTGTTAGCTAGTAAATACCTGTCTTCAAAGTGCATTTTAAGTTGTAAAATCACTTTTATGTACCTAGTTTATCATCCTGTAAAAACTGACTGCTCTCTGTCTTGCTTAGTTGGAAAGCAGTGTGTCTCATACATTTTTCTTTCAAGAACTTTATCTTGACTGCATGATAGTCTATGCATAGTAAAATTTATGATGTTTCCAACTAATCTGGATTTAAGAAAAGTTTAAAGGGGCTTGCAGTGTGGTTAAAAAAAAAAAAAAAGTGCTGTTTTTCAGTTTTCAAAATAACTTTCACTACAGAAATAATGATTACTCTGGATACAAACATGATTTTTCAGAATTAATTTCCAGAGTAGATATTTACCTGCAGCATCTTATGTGCTTGGTTTTTGAAGTCTTATAGGTGTCAGTAGTTGTTGTTATACACAAGAAGAATGTCACAAGGTTTGCAGTAGCTTTGGTTTGACTGAGACCTGTGAACAGATTAAAAAGATTAGGAAATACATGCTTTTAGCATTAGACCCCACGCTCCTACTTACATAAGGAACTGTGGAAAAACAATACAATGAAAGTACTGGAAAGAGAACAGTACTGAACAGATCTCTAACAATGTTTGTGGCAGTCCTAAAAACAAACCCTTGCATGTGAAGATGCTAAAGGTGAAGGGAATGAGAAGCTCATGGCTTGGAATATCCTTTGGAACCTTCCTCTAAACACAAACTTGAATCTGTCTTAAATCATTCTTTGAAATGCTGCCACTGTAAGATCCTGGTGATCTATTTTCTCTGTTATTCCTCTGTCTGGAGTGGCAAGCAAACAAAAAAAGTCCTTTCCTTCATGGAAGTTGCAGGGATCATACAATCACCGAGGTTGGAAAACACCTCCAAGATCATCCAGTCCAACCCTCCACCTATCACTAGAATTTCCTAATAAACCATCTCCCTCAGTACAACATCTAAACATTTCTTGAACACCTCCAGGGATGGTGACTCCACCACCTCTCTGGGCAGCCCATTCCAGCACCTGACCACTATCAGAGAAGAAGAATGGATTTGCTGCTCTCCGAAATAACAGGTGTTCTCCGTCCACCACAGAGAAGAAGAAATGATTGCATTTTACAGGTACTGCAAGATAGTCTCTGTTGGAGAGATTCAACTTCTGGTTGATAAGACTCTTCTGGGCACTTTAGTTCTTTTTCACTCAGAATGATCTAAATCTCAATTTCCTTCTTCTATTGGCATTTAGTAGAAAGTTTGAATCCCGTTTTGTTGAGTTTTCCCATTTCATCTTTTTGCTGTAATCAAAATATGATAAGGCCCACATTGCACATGAGACTTGACCCTACAATGAGACAGGATGGTATTACCTTAATACAGGTCCTTCTACTGTAGGATGGAGAAGTTCTGTAGTTCTGTGGAACCTTTCCTCCAAGGCAAGCAGCCTTTTTGGATCCTCCTACATGGTATGACAGACTTAGGGTCACTGGAGCGTGGTTCCATCTCCATAATGCATCCAGTTCAAAGTCAATTTTTTTTTTAATATAAGAGAGAAGTCAGTTTTGCACTAGATGGAAATGCCTATGAAATCGCAAAGCAAATTACTTTGGGTGACTGACAAGGCTGTGGCTGGCAGTGGTGTAGATGCAGACTTATCCCTGTTCAGGGTAGTCACAGTTGATTCATACCAAGAGGACTGTTCATCTCAGTCAAACCTTCACCACAAGACTCCATGGATTTCATCTTTTATGTAAAGCTACAGCAGTAAAACACAATATCTTTACAGATTGATGCAGTGGGTCTAGATGTGTCAGAGGAACTCATCTATTAAGACAAGTACCCAAGGCAGAATGAATGTTAAATTCTTTTAGCTGACAATGAATAAAGGTTGTAGATTTTTTTTTTTATTTTATTTTTTTCTTTTTTTCTCTTGATTCCTACTTGTTCTGGTGGTATAAGGTGGGACTCATCCTTGAGATCCGATGTCTGAATCATCCACTTTGGCACTTACTAAAGACCAGGAGTGATTTCTATTTGAAGAAAGTGCCCAGGTTTCTTTAACATAGAGAAGCATTGATGTTCCTGTCTAATGTTTATGTACAGTGTGGTTGCAGACATGGTGCACACACCATGAATGAGGAAATAGATACAACCTTCCATAGATATAAATTTAATGACCTTCTTAACTGAGTCAGGAGACTTCAAGGAGCAGCAGAAAATATTCAGACTCAAATCAAAACAGATCTCACATCTGAATAATAATTGAGACTAGCACAGGAGGACTGAAAAATAGACAGGTATAGGAATTGTCAGTTCACTGAGTAGCTTTTCCAAGTCATTATAGAGCAGCAGAACAATATTTTTGCATGATATGAATCCATCAGTTAGCACTGGAGAATTATAGTGCTTTCTTGTCATAATTAAAATTAATTGTCTTCCCTATTAAATTGAAATAAATTAGCTTAGTACACATTAATTAATATATAAGTGTCAGAGGTCAACATTTTTTTAGCTCCTGATGATCAGAAGTTATATACAATCTCATGACAAGTGTAAGAACTGCCATCTTTTGCCTGAAGACTATAGTATCTTAAAAGGAAAGCAAGAGGTAAACTCTTCTGGAGAATTTAACATGTTTTCTAGTAACTATAACTGCATTTGTTAAATGCTATCTGCAGATATTCATGTATGTGCTGAGGTAAATTTTTTGTGGAAGTTCTATCTCTGGAAGTTTGTTTCCAGAAATGGCATTTCAGCACCAGCTTCCCAGCATTACCGTAGTGGCTGTATCCGTACTGTGGCAGAATGTGAAGAGCTTCTGGAGCTGACCAAGGTTGTAAGATTTGGGACACTCCAGGTGAATAAGAACACAGAGAACAAAATGCAGTGAGGGAGTGCAGACACCCAGATATGGGCATGACAAAACTCTGAAGTCAGGGATCAGGAAGCTTCAAATACACGTTTGATATGTTTTCATGAACACAGAATGCTCTTCTGTGGATGACTCCAGAAGGAAATGAATTGGTATTACAACAGAAGTAATTGCAGTTCATGCTCATGTGGATAATGCTGAAAGTAGTGGATTATGAATTGCCAGTTCATTTAAATCAATACAGCTCTACTGACACCATAATTGAGATGCCTGCTCTTAAGCTTTGCCCTAAGTGTTTTGATGGATTGTCAAGTTTTCTTTCTTTTAACCAAAGATTTCCAGCTGCATTGCAGTAAATCTATGTCAATGTGATAGTAATACAGAGACTGATTTACTAATAAATTAGGCATTCTTCCACCACACTAGAAAAGTTTGAGTGTTAAACTTGAATCCATGGCTTTCAAATTTTGTAAAAGCTGAGTTAAATCATCAAACTAAACCCACTTCTGTGAAATGCTTAATAATGGTATTCATCATTTTTGTCTTGTTTCATTTTGTTTTATTACAGAATTTCATAGTAGTTGGAGAGGAAAAAAAGAATGTCACAAGAACAAAACTGAACTAAATTATCTAATAATATTTTATGTTCTTTTTAGGTTCAATGTAATCTTATTGGGCACCAGCAGTGGAACTGTTCAAAATGGTTTATGGTGAATTTTTCCGCAGACCTGGCAAAGATGCAGAACTTATCAATTTGAATGTGGGTGGCTTTAAGCAATCAGTGGATCAAAGCACTTTGCTCCGATTTCCTCATACCAGACTTGGGAAACTTCTCAAATGCCATTCAGAAGAGGCTATTCTAGAACTATGTGATGATTACAGTGTTGCAGATAAGGAATACTATTTTGACAGAAATCCCTCCCTGTTCCAATATGTTCTGAACTTTTACTACACGGGCAAACTTCATGTCATGGAGGAACTTTGTGTCTTTTCCTTCTGCCAGGAAATAGAGTACTGGGGGATAAATGAGCTGTTTATTGATTCCTGTTGCAGCAATCGGTACCAGGAGAGGAAAGAAGAAGGTCCTGAAAAAGACTGGGATCAGAAAAGCAATGACAGAAGCTTTGACTCCTCTAATGAAGAATCATCCATATTTGATAAGGAGCTGGAAAAGTTTGATAATCTGTGCTTCGGTGAAATAAGAAAGAAGATCTGGGTCAGAATGGAAAATCCTGCATACTGCTTGTCTGCCAAGTTAATTGCTGTGTCCTCCCTGAGTGTTGTCCTGGCATCAATCGTGGCCATGTGCATTCACAGCATGCCCGAATTTCAAAGGCTGGATGCCAATGACAGAGAGATTGAAGATCCTGTGCTGGAAGCTGTGGAGATTGCATGCATCATCTGGTTCACTGCTGAGCTAGTGATCAGGCTCATCACTGCTCCAAGTCAAAAGAAGTTCTGGAAGAAACCACTGAATATCATTGATTTTGTCTCTATTATCCCATTTTATGCCACCTTGGCTGTGGACACAAAGGAAGAAGAAAGTGAAGACATTGAAAACATGGGGAAAGTGGTCCAGATCTTGCGGTTAATGAGGATATTTCGCATCCTGAAACTGGCCAGGCACTCTGTAGGACTGCGGTCTTTAGGCGCTACTTTGAGACATAGCTACCAGGAAGTTGGACTTCTCCTTTTGTTTTTGTCTGTTGGGATTTCTATTTTTTCAGTTCTTGTCTACTCAGTGGAGAAGGATGATGACTCATCAGAACTGCACAGCATCCCTGTTTGCTGGTGGTGGGCAACCATCAGCATGACTACCGTTGGTTATGGGGACACTTACCCAGTTACACTTGCTGGAAAGCTTCTCGGCACCTTATGCATTATCTGTGGGATACTAGTGGTAGCACTTCCAATCACCATTATTTTCAATAAGTTCTCTAAGTACTACCAAAAGCAAAAAGATATTGACCCAGACCAATGCAACAATGATCGCAAAGAGAAATGTAATGATCTACCTTATTTTAACATTAGAGATATTTATGCAAAAAAGATGCACTCATTCATTTCAAGCCTTTCCTCAGTAGGAATCGTAGTCAGTGACCAAGACTCAACAGATGCCTCCAGCATCCAAGACATGGAGGATGTTTATCACACAACTACTTTAGATAATGGTGCAGGAAAATGAGTGGAATCACTTTCTCTTTTCCTTATTTTTCTTTTCTGAGTCCTGGTAAACATGGACTTAAAGACTTCAGTGAATTTATTAAGTGCATTTAATTCTCAGGGTACTTAACTCTTAGCCATATTTGGACATTCTTTGCTCTGAGGATGCCATACGAGCTTCGTCGGTTAGAAGAGGCTTTAAAATACGCCTCATGTGGTAGTTTGGTTTTTACACAACTAATGATATGTATTTTCTTTGAGGAAAAAAGTCAGGAAAACAGTTTTAAATGTGAGGTCATTGTTTCCTGCAGCAATATGATAGCTTACACAGAATCTTGCTGCTGTTCGAGTAGATGTATATTGCAAACATATTAAACCTATGGCACATCAGTGGAGTTTGTACTGAAAATATATCAGAAGAAAGAAGGAATTATCTACATGTAAAGCAGTGCTCACTAACACATTTGTGTAATCCTGGAGTTGGGAACCAACTTGGGACAGAAAATGTATTGGTACATAGTGTTCTTACTCCATGGAAGCATAATATTTATGAATTTCTTTCCAAAAGCACAATGCATTCTTATTTTGTTAAAATAAATTAATCCCATTGTGCCTATATTTTTCCCAGTGTCCCACCTCTAGCATGGACAAGCTCTGGCAAGTCCTGAAGGTTCTAAACCTCGTGCAACAGGATGAAACTTGAGGCCTAAGGCCAGCCAGGAGTTTATTGTACCTTTTAGCCACCATCTCTGCCATTGCGAACCTGAGCTGTTTTAGAGCCTGGAGAGGATCCTGCTGTGATTAAGACCACCCCAGTGGCTTCCTTTGCTTTGTGGGTACTGAAGTGAACGGCCACAGTGGACTTTAGAAGTTACTGCTGCATGCTGTCAGCTCTGCTCCTTTGCTGGAGGATGCTGCCTCAGTGGGTAAAAGCAAACATGAGCAGCATCTTTGCTGCAGTGGTTCCCAGTCTAGGGCTGTAATGCCAAGCATTGGAGATGTGTGGAAATGCTCTCCTCTACCATATATTGCCCCTCAGAAGTAGAGTATGAACTGCATGTGGGCACCCATATGTTAACCTATTGCAGCTCATTTTCTGAAGCTCATCTGTTGGGGATGGCAGCTGTCCTGGATTGTTCTATGGGCTGGGGCAGTGCCCACGGCCTGGCAGAGCTCTGCAGCACTGTGTGTTCCCCTCCTCTCCAGGGATTTCTTATGCAGCCAGCTAATCCTGCTGTGGTTCAGACTGCACTTTCCAGGGGTATCTGAAAGGAAAGCTGGCACTGGAAGCCCCCTGCCAAGGAGTGCGTAAGAAACTTGGGAACCTCAGAAGTCAGTAATACTTCTGAACACTCTTTTTTTTTTTTTTTTTAAATAGATGCTGGGCAGTGAAGAATCCAAGCTACTGTGATGTTTTGCTTAAAGAAAGACTTCACTGTTTTTTTGTTGTTATTATTATTTTTTTTTAAAATCATTTAATCTCTAATGGGCTGAATCCTGGTAGCCCTTAGTCAGTTTCTATGCAGGCAGATCAAACACAGTAGGAGCTGACTTCAAGACTGAGTAAACCCAGACGGGAACCTATTTCTAGCCTCTGCAGAGTAGCTCAGAGGGCTGTTTTTTCAGGTGTGTATCACGATTTCTGTTGTAAAGTACATTGAGTAAGCAGCTGAGTTGCACTGATACTTGCTGAGGCACAGAGCTCCAACCTCTTTGCAGATCAGTGAAACAAAAGAGAACTGGATGGACCAACCTATACCTTGGAAAGAGGTGTTCTTCAGGACGGTTGTGCACCAGTGTAGTAATGTGAGACTAGGGAACACTCTGAGTTTTGGAAAAACTTCAGAAATTGGCTTATTACTTGCTGTGTGTCATAAGGGTATGTGATGCTTCACAGGTAATCAAAATTAATTCTTCCCATTGTAAATGCAGGAAAACCAAAAGGGAAAGTTAGCCTACATGTGTTTTGTTCTTAGTGAACAGTTAGCATTACAAAGATGCAGTGATATAAAATAATAAATATGTATGTGCATATGAATGTAATAGGAACCAGCAGAATAACAATATAAAAATTGCTCTGTCCAAAGAAACTCTCTCGGTATGCTCCGTATATAGATCATGTTGTTGAAATTTAAAAGCAATGAAAAATATTGTAATGCAACAAAAATGACAAGAAATTTGTATTAAACAGCTGAAAAAATCTAGTATTGAAAAATCTCTTTTTGTATATTAAGCATTACACAGAAATGATACTGAATATTAATTTGTCATAAATTGAACGGTCACATATGGATGTGGCACAAAGTTTCTCTGACTCTTTCCACATAAATTGATCTTGCAATGCAGTGAGGCATGTCTTTTAGACTGTGTAATAAGAGGGAACCCTTGTGCCATGCAAAGTGCTATTTTGATATCTGGGATGACACCAGAGCTGTGTTCAAATCAGCTGTGTTGTTCAAAAAAGGCTTTGTTGTAATCTTTTTCCTTTGCTGGAATATTTCCAGCACCTTGCTTTCCCATAAAGGGTGTGAGCCAAAAGGTGCTGCTCTCAGAGCAGAACGTCAAGTCCTGTAATGTGCACTGGTATGAGAAAATGACACATATCTTGAGTGCCATAAAAAGCAGATGAGAGTAAATACAGAGATGCTGCATGCTCTTTCTGCTAGTGGAACAGAAGAATTTTCTATAAAAAATTGAACATAAGAGGGGACTTGTTTCCTATTAATGTCCTTTTTGTCTTGTGTATTATCAAGAAATAGCATCAGTGGAAGGCAGATTATCTTTAATGCTTTTCTTATTCCTGTACCTTTTCCCTGTATGCTTTTCTTTGTAAAAATGCTGCTTAAATTCTCTCCATCCAGCTGCTGTTTCAGATGAAAAAGCACAGAAGAGGTTATGTTCGGATACGTGTCCCATTTTGCATGGGAGGGAATTGCTGGTCTTTATACAAAACAGCTTCCTGGCACATCATTAGTTTCTTTGTCTTGATGGCAAACACCGCCTTTTGCTATTCAGTTTTTCCACAGCAGTGTCCATCCTTGTGTAGTTCTGTCCCAATGCACTGTAGGAAGGGTTATGGCCCGTCATGCCCCAGCTCATGCTGAGAGCAGCTCTGCACTGCCACTGCTCTGGTGTGTATTACAGGAGCTGAATGGCAGATGTGGAGGTGTAAGAAGGAAAGCTTTCTGAGTCCAGAAGGACATCTCTCATTCATCTGGCTGGCAGCAGGTAAAGCTTAGCTGAGGTGAAATGAGCAAACAATCTTGCTGTATATATCAGCACCCTTTGGGGTTGTGCTTTTTTTTTTTTTTGAAGAAGAAAAAGTCACATAAATCAGCGTGGCATAAATCAGTGGCAGAGCCTAAACACCAGCTAAATAAATGATAGCACATCTGTGCTAAGCAAAATAACAAAATATCTGCTACTTGTTAAGTATAATTAGTGTCAGGCACCACAATGCAAAATACTAACTATTTAAAAATCAAAGAATGCTGAAAGTGTCAGGCAGGTCTGTCTGGTAAGTGCAACATGTAGTCTCATCTGGGCTGGGATTTTGTGTATTAATGCATTTATTAATTTCCACACATCCTTAATGATCAGAGCAAGTGACAGAAAGACACTAAGCTGCAGAGAGCTTTTCTAATGTTTTTTGATTAGCTGACAGTGTTTGTGAAGCTGCTAATACCTCTTCATCCACAAAAGGACAATTCTCAAACAAAATGAAAATAACCCTGTGCTAGAAGTGCAATTTGTGTTTGATAGCAGTAGCTCAGCTGCAGTTGGTAAATACTGCTGTCTGGTGCTCTATAGCTGCAGTGCTGCTGCTCGTATTGCTGAGATGTTTATGCTCTGTCAATCAGGAGACAGCAGATGCCATTAAACCGTCTCAGCACTTTCCCACTGCACCATAATTGCAGTATCTCTTCTAAGCATAGCAAAGATTCACAACTTGCTGAGACTTCTTTTTTAATTTCTGTAAAGCTGTAGTTAATCTTTCATGATGGGCCTATGGTCCAAATATGATCTAGCAGAAGAAGTCACTGTGTGCCTCTAGATAGAATCACAGAATATCCCAATTTGAAAAGGATCCATAAGGATCACTGAGTCCAACTCCTGGCTCCACACACTACCATCCAAAAATCAGACCCTATGCCTGAGATTATTATCCAAATGCTCCTTAAACTTTGACAGCTCAGCCCTGGGGAGCCTGTTCCACTGCCTATGCCAAGGTCTGGCAATCAGTGGATACTGCACCTACACATTCATTCTTACTTTTTTGGTATTGGGGTGCTAGTTTATTTCAGGCTTCTGAATGTCACACACAGAGATAGTCACAAAACATGTACAAATGTGCTTTTCAGAGTTCTCCTTTGTATGCACACTAGAAGCATGTGTAGGAATGCCTGGCTCATTGAGTAACTGGAAGTGCTTGGTATAGGTTACAAGATTTTGCTATTTATTTCCAATCTGGATGTTACACTCCCACCCAGCTGGAAAAGGACAAACAGCAGTAATTCTTAGTTAAGGAATAAAAAGCAAAGCTCCTTTGGCTTGTTCAGTATAATTAGATTAAATATCAAACATGACTGCTTCCTTGAGGAACAACCTACATGTCATTTCTTTTTAATTAATGTATTGGAGAGGGAAGTTTTTGCTTGGGATATTGGAAGAAATGCAGATCAAGGGCTCCTTTGTCTATGTACACATCAATTTCCAAAACCTCATACACCAGTGGGACAGGTAGACTTTACAGGACCCCTGACAGGCCCAAACCTGCAGGCCAAAGACATGCTGAGGGCTGGTTGTGGAGGAGAACTCATCTCTGGCTCTGGCTTCAACATTGTGCCAGGAATGAGCAGTCTTAACCAATTCTGTGTTCTGCTGATTAAAAGCAATACCACGTGGTGACATACTGACGTAATCTGCTTTCACTGTTTCTTTAAGACTTTTCACAAAAGGACCAAAGAATGTGAATTGCAATGTAATAGCATTACCATGGTTTCGTCTCTAGTTATTCTCTACTATTTAATAGCATATGTACTGAGTTTCCTAGTTATTTTATGACATGCATTGCTGTTTCCACTGCACAGCTTGTTATAACTAGCACACAACTGTGCTGGAGTTTGTTATGGCCTGATTTAGTGTCATTGTTCTAGGAGCTCTTTTGAG